CCCATCTGTGGAGATAGCAATTGGGGATGGCTGGGGATTTTAAGGGGGGAAATCGGGTCTTGGATTTTCCTTTTCTAGAAATAATGCCAAAAAAAAAAGGTTTTGAAAGTGTTGAAATTACATCTTGACACTTAACCCCTCCACCAATGTCTGCTTTATATTTAATTTATAATCCAACTATGTATTTGCAGACCTAAAACCTAAATGAAACCATTTGAAGTGCAGTGTTTCAATTGACCTGATCTAATTTGGGGTTTATAAATTCACCAGACTTCTTGAGATTAAAGTGTTCTGTCTTCACTTAAGTATGGAAACATTTTCAAGCCTCAGAAATTATCCCACAATGGGGAAAATGTCTCCTGCTCTGCTCTCCTCGCAGTCTGAGGAAATGAAGGACGGAGTCACAAGATTTAAAGCAATTCACTTACCGCACTTTACTAAGTTACAATTCAACTACAGTAGTTGACCATGTGCCTGTTTTTAGCACAACAGTCACTTTTGATTCCCGCAGCTAATACCATCTCCTCTGCGCAGTCACTCCAAAAAATGTATTTCTTCTGCAGTGCTCACAGAAAGTGAGTTCATATCCCAGTGCATGAGTTGCCAATGTAATTTATTCCAGCAACTTCCCTCTTCTCTTCCAGCAAAATAAGCTATACCATGCTCGTGTCCCTGTGCATGAGCTCTTCTTGGTCTGCTGTTCAGAGTGCAGGAGAGATTATTTATGTTCATTAGAGCTCCGGATGAATTGCCGGTACATAAGAAGCAATGACTATTCTCTGTGTGGCTTTTCTTCTGCATTCATTGCTAGGTCATTGTGGGAGGGTCCTTGTGCTGCACTATATTGTGGGTTACTGCTGTCACCCCAAATTTGGTTATGAGGGGTTATAATCTACAGCGTTAGGGAAGCAGGATGAGCTGCAGTCCACAGGCTGTCACTGCAGTTCTGCTCCCCGAAGTTGTTTGCCAGCTGTCCATCTGGGATGTGAAGTTTTCAGGAGGGGATTCAACCACTTCCCACTTCCAGTCTTCAATGGCTCTTGCACCCCAGAAGTCTTTCCCAGCAGTTTGGATTTTCACTTTGTGTCCCATGTTTAAACCTACCATCTGCAACTCCCTTTGGCTTTCTGTGGTTTCTGAAGGGCCAAGTATTGCTGTAGGGAGGCCCTCAAACAACTCCCTGTCAGATACTTTTTCCCAAACAGCTTGTTCCCACTTTGCTGCTGATTGTGCTGTACATGTTTAAGTCTCTTAGTTTTTACTTACAAGCTGATGCTTGATGTCCTCATTTCAGTTGTTCTTTGCTTGGGTTTTAGTGTATCTTTGCTTGGGGTTATTTTTCTTACTAATATATTAGGGTGTCTTATTCTCCCCAGGTGAGATTCTTTTTCTTTGCCATGGATAAACAGTTCTGCCCTCAAGAGATGTGGACCCAGACTCAGCCTTTATCATTGGGCCAACCTTCCATTTAGAAATGGATGGTTCCTTCCCCATCCTTTTCAAACCCAAAAAATTAGTTGGATTTGGAGACCCAAGTGTCTCCAAAAAAGAAGGGCACTCCCTGCCTCTTAGCCAAAAACATGAGAAAAGGATGGTAAACTTTCCCCTTAGCCCATGCTGGATTTGTGGTCCATATTCTTATGACATGAATTTGACCACAGCCCTAGGTCTGATATTTCCTAGCTGGTTCTTATCTTTCTTCTCTGTGCCTTGCTTTGGCCCTCTCTGTAGCTCATCAGATGCACTCATCCCTACCTGTTGATTACAGAGAGGGCTGGCAACAGGTAGCTTAGGAGAAAAGAAGAAAAACAGGGTTGTTAGGTTTTTTTCTTCATCTTGTTTGGCTTTCTGAATGCCTGAAAGCTCCAGGAGGTGCTAGGAGAGTTAGCTAAACTGTGAAAGAGAGTAAAATCAAGAAGCCAAACTTACAATCCTACAGAGATGCTATTCCCATAATGTGCAGAAATACCTTTGTGCAGGTTGTTAGCTGCTGGGGCAGCATTTAGGCATGTGGGATAACCTGATTAAAGAATCAAAAAAAAACCCTGTTAGCTTCACAGGCCAAATCCTTCCTTACAGCAACCTGATGTCAAATGGGTGTGAATCAAGGAAGCTTTCCCTTTGGCATCTTCTGGTAACACCTTGAAGAGAAGGGTCTGAGCCAGGGTTCTAGCAAGGAAAGAGGCTTAAGCAAATACACTCCCAGACAGGGAATGAGCTGGAGTCTGCAACTAATGACTTTGTTTTTCCTCACTGGTACAGCTTCATCAAAAGATTTCATCCTTTTCATCAAAAGAAATTTCTCAGGTCTGATTTTCAGGTTGTATAGAAGGTTTAATCAGGAGCTGGTTAATTTAAAACGCTTGTCTGTCTTAGCTGCGAGAATGTCAAACAGTGTGACTGAGCTGAGATTTGGGAGCAGAAGATGTGTTTGCTGAAAGCATAATCCAGAAGCATGATTACCTGCTGTCCTGGTCACTGCAACACTTCCACCAAAGTCAGCATTAACACGAGATGTCAGACAAGATGATTGTAATGATTCCTTGTGGTCTTAAACTCTATGTGTCTGAAATGTGTGAGTAGGAGTTGCATCAGATCAGTAGTGAGAGCATTTCCAGGCCACACAGTTTGGCGTTAGATCCCTTTGCAGAGTGGGTTGCAGCTGCAGGCTTCTGCTCTGTTCACAGTACCAGGTAGGCTGTGCTCAGTTTTGCTGTCTGGAGTGCTGTTATATAGGCTGTCGTAGCAGACCAGGGGCACTGCTTAGCAGATCAGCCCCCAAGTGTAGGTAAGCCATGAAACTCCTGGCCATGTTGTGAGTGCTCAATGTTTATCAGAATTCAAAAAGCAATCAGGAAAGTTCACGGGAGAAACATCCACTTGAGGCAAAGTACAGAGGAGACGAGCTCTGGCTCAGGAAGTCCCTAAGCCAGAAATTGCTGGAGGCTGGGAGCGTATCCTAAGGAATTGCTGTGTTTTGCTTGCCCTGTTCTCATACCTTGGCCTCCGTTGTTGGCAACTGTTGGAAACGAAGCAAGCAGTGACTTGGTGAGGCAAACACTCTGTACCTGCGCATATACAGAAGTTGTTATAGAAAATGCCTTATGGGTGGCACAATCTTTCATTGGTATCTGCAGCTATGCTGCATTCATTCCTTGGCAATACAGAGAACAGCATGGATACAGACTGAGATGATGTGATCTGCTTATGCAAAGCAAAATGGTAAATTTGCCAGGTTATTTCTCCAAGGAGAAAATTATTGACCTTGCTTTTTCTGGCATACCAGCTACTGTTATAATGATGATGATGGTGACAGCAACCAGACAGAAAGGCCAGCAATAATTCTTTCCTGCCCATTATTACAAGGCATAAAGCAAAATCCAGTCTGAAACCAACGCTAGTCTGGCTGTGCTCTCTTTACAAATGTGTGAGGCAGTTCTCATATGGGTTGAAATTCAGGACTTTTCATATCGACCTTTCTAAAAACAACCCTTTTGATCTGATACGAACCTGTGTATTTCTGTGTTTGTACCTTACCAGCGATTTGCAGCCCAGAGATAACGTCCGATAGCAAATATGTGAGTGTAGAAGTAACCTCTCTGAGCTCCTGGGTGATTCATCTCCTGACAATACATTTTGGCTGCAAATGTAAGGGCTGGATCTTGCCCCTGAGAATATTGGCTCAAAGAAGCAATAACAATGCGGTCAGTCAAAGCACTACTTTCCCTGGGAATTTTGTTGCATGAGGAAGCAGAAGAACTTTAGCCTTCCTGTGTTTGTCAACATGATCTGCCTTCCAGCAGCTTTTTATATTTCTGTCCCATTAGATTTTTTCCTTTCCTTTTTTCCTCCTTCTTATTCCTCTCTATCTTAATCATAATCAATATTGTAATCATAGACTTTCTACCTCATCCAAGATTCAAACATTGGTTGATAACATTATTTGATAACTCCAGATGCATCAAGCAGGAGTAGTAGGTGAAGTTTGCTTTCCTAAAGTCCAGTGAAATGACCCAAATCATTGCCACAGATTTATTGTTTGCATCTATGTGGGTTGCACCCTCCATTCGTGGCATGTGTCTTTAAGGTGCTTGGTTTGAAAGGGTAAGTTGCACAGTTGGTATCAGAAGAGCTAGTGTGGCTCACAGACAACCATCTGAAGCGAAATTATCTTGGTGTTTCTATAACTAACTGCAAGGGTGAGTGAGGGTTGAAATGAGATGAATTATTCAATGGACCCCACTTGAAAGGTGGGGGTTTTTTTTGGCTCCAGCGCTTCAGGAGCAGACCAATATGTAAAACCTGTGCTGCAAGGATCATGGCCTTACAGCTGGCATTTCAGTCATTATCTCAAACATCGTGGGCCAGAGATAAATGAACAGTTTAAGTCATCCTGAACTCCTGTCCTTGCGATGCTTTCATTGCAGACACTGCTTTGTTCTCTCCCCAGACTCAACAGCAGTCTCTGTGGTGGGAGAGGAAGATCAAGATTTTCTTATAAGGCAGATAAAGATCCTTTATGGGAGCTGCATTGGCAGAGCAGTTGCGGGGTCTCTGCGTAGCCCCAGGAGTTTGAGCTTCAGCTTTGCACTGCACGTTGTGGAGGTTGTCTCTAATCAACTCAGCTGCAAAAGGTCATTCAGACTGGGCAGTCCAGAGGCAAAAACCCAGGAGTGCAGGCTGCATAACTCCTTCATGTGCTCTTGGCTACAGAAGTTGTGATGTCTCAGATACAGCCACCTGATGGGCCATCTCTGATCATTTATCAGAGCTGCTGAGAGAAGCCTCTGGTTTGCGTTCTCACACTATACTAAAGACTTGACCCAGGCCCTGTGCTGTTATCATAGTCTTTGTTGACCGTACTGTGCTTATCTAGAAGAAATGAAAAGAAAGTACCCAAAGCTTCTAAAGTAGGTCAGCAGCAGCCTCCAATCCAACTGACCTTTGTAAATGTCCTGCTGAGATGGTGCTCACATCTGTTGTGTATGTTTTGTTTGCAGAACACGCTGGAGCAATGCAGTGTCTGCGCAAAGCCCATCATGGAGAGGATCCTCCGAGCCACTGGGAAGGCCTACCATCCCCACTGCTTCACCTGCGTGATGTGCCATCGCAGTCTGGATGGGATCCCCTTCACCGTGGATGCCGGTGGGAACATCCACTGCATCGAGGATTTCCATAAGTATGGCCCAAGCTGCTCTCAGTGGCTTTGCTTACTGTCTTTCTCTTTTGTCCCTAAAAATCCTCCTTTTTTATTGTCAGTGTCCAAAAAGATCTGAACCCTCTACCACTTCCTCTCAGAGCTCTTAAATAGTAGGCAGAGCTTTGCTCCAAGCAGGCACACCATGGCATACAAGACAAATTGTTCAGGGGCCAGTGCTGCTTGATCTCAGTTTTGCTTAGATGTGAATTTATGGATAACCTCCATTTTAAATGCTCTGCATTCCCCCCGCCTTCCCCTGCACTCAGCATGTGCACGTTTCTCCTCACTGCCTGTACCTGTGCTTTCACATCAGCATCTCCCCCCTTCTTCCACTGAGCAATTAAGAGAAGTCCTGTACTGTTGCACTCTGCAGGTGTTTGCTTACCGGCTAGAGGGATCTAGGTGGCCACAGGATGCTCTCAGCTCCTCTTGTTTCTAGTTGCTAATTAGCTTTTTAAAGCTGCTAAAAATATAGCCGTGGTAATAATTTATAGTGAAACTGCTATTTAAAGTAAGTTGAAAGGTATAGTTGCAAGTAGTTTCTGTCACTGCCATGCTACCACCCCCATCATCACAACTAATCTAGGGAGGACAGGTAGATATAATCAGAGCACAAATGTTTCCCCTGTATGGAAAAGATAGACGCATTACACCCCTCAATTAAAAGAGGAAATCAATACTGACAAATGTGAGTTTACATCTCAACCATTTATCTCTTAATTTCTAAGGGGGTAGACTTAATTACAGCCTCGTGACATCAATGTGTGGGCCTGAAAGCTCGAAGAAGCAGGTTGACTTGACAGAAAGGGAAGCAGCCATGATCAACCAGCATGTTAAGATCCAATGTGAGGATGTTCCCTGTAGCTCAGATAGGCTGGGTTAATTGGCAGCTGCTGTGTTGCCTTGCTTTTCTGTGCCAGCAGTTGCATGTAAGGTAAAACTTGGTCCTGAGCACAGGCCCAACAGAAGGCTTACACACTACTTGGGCTCCTGAAGGGTTTCCCTCACACCCACTTACAATTTGGAGACTGCTCCTTCCCCAAGCCCCACAGGCCAAGGGCTCACAAGCCTTCAGGAGGAAGGTTGGAAGCAAGAGCTGATGTCCCATGTTGAAGTCTTTTGGCAGTGACTGGATGCGGACCTCAGGGCTCTGAGAGTGGGAAGTGGGAGGCTGTCAATCCAAGGAAAGGATGCAAAAATCGTTGAGTGAAAGATTGAGGGGAAGATGACGGGAATAGCGTGAGACCTAATGTGACGCTCAGAATGTCTTTGGGCAACCACACGTTTAGCAGCACTTCAGCCAGCCCAGTTTTAATTGATCAGGGATGACATATCCTCCTGGTCTGGAGGTCGAGTGCTCTACATCTTCTACCTCCTCCTGATAACAACACTGTACCTGATGCTCACGCTGTTGCTTAGCTATCCTCTGAGCTTGGGCCCCACAGTAGCACATCCATATCCCCTGAAATCTGCAGGAGTCATCTCTGGGTCCTGGGAGTTAATATTTGGCTCATAATGAGTTACCCACAGTGGCCTGGACAGAGAAATGTCTAAGTATTTTTAAGCACCACATTTGAGCTAAATGGCACAAGGAAGCGCCTGCATGAAGCAGCATATAATTAACTGCGATTACAGTTCCGGTCATATCATGATCCATTTAAGTTATTTTTCAGAGCACTTGCTATAGCCACTGTTTAATTCATTTTTTCGTTAGGTTGCAGCTACACAGACATCTTTCATCTGCTGGCAGTGAAATTGATACTTTTCTTTACTCCTAGCACAGATAGACTTTTTTTTCCTTTTCTAAGCTAGTTAATTCTGAGGTGGTTCAGTGACAGTCTGGGTGGCAGAGTCAATCTTTCCTAGGCATTTCAGAAGAGAAGGGCCTTTGATCTCCTCGTGTTCTGATGTTTGCTGTAAGCATTGCCCTCTGTCATTCCATAGCCTGTGACCCCGGCTCTCATTACATGGCAGCAGATTTTGTAGGTACAAGTTTCTTTTTTTTGTGGGTAGAATTTGCAGCCAGGGAATTGGTACCCATCGGTTTTGAACCAAAGCAGCAAATAATGATTCTAAATGTTCTCAAGCATCTCTACCTGCCTGGGAGCAGAGATGGCCACTTCTCATGGGCAACTGGGGAAAGCAAAACCAGAGCTAATACAGAACATATGTGAATTAGCCAGAAGGGCATACGATGGGCAATATAAGGGGAAGAAGAAAGGTCTGTGCTCCTCTTGATCTCTGAGCTGACTAAGCCAGCTGATTCAAGCCAGTCCCTTCACACAGTGAGTGATTGTCACCATACAACTCTGACTCAGGCTGACTGTGGAAGAGAGAGTGTTGGTGTCTCTGCACACACACCTGTTCCCTTTTAAGCCTGGGCAACCTACTAATGGCTAACTCAGAGCTGGTTTTAGCTAGAAAACGCAGCTAGTCAGAATTGCCCTTATGCTTCTTGTTTGAGAGTGAGCACAGCCAGGAGCGTGCTCCTGTGTGCATAAGTGGGTAAGATGTCTCAAGTTTAAAATGGATGGGATAAACCTCAATAAATTAGTGTCGTGTAAGGCAAATCTTTTTACCATCTCTATTAAGACTTTTTACCTATTTGTTCTGAATTCCAATTTTTAATATTTTGCTATTTTCTTCAAGAGATGTTCTTGAAGCAGATCCTGGTCATCTTTCTAACCTTAGGAATTGCATGGACTTTCTTAGAGTTAGGCTGGGAGTTGAGCCTGATGGTTATGGCAGTGCAGAGGTGTTACGATCGTGGGTCATTCAACAGGCACTTTGGTTGTTAATTAGGGCAAGCAGAATACGCTTTGCTGCCTGTCAGATATTTTTGAAGTCCTCTCCCAATAGTCTGCAAAATGCTCTTTAATATTCTGCAAACCTGAAATTGCATTGTAAGACTAAAGTGCTCCTTCCTGTCTTCTTTCCAAGGAGGCAGCTGTGCAAAGCTGCAAACCGTGACATACGTGTACATATGTGTGTTTGTACAAATGCAGACATTTCTGGCTTGCTGGTGCAGTTAACAAAAACTTTTCACTCTGAGTTTGAGGATGACCGGGACTGTCTCTTCTTCCTTCAGGAAATTTGCACCGAGATGTTCAGTGTGTAAGGAGCCCATCATGCCGGCCCCAGGACAAGAGGAGACTGTACGTATTGTCGCCTTGGATCGTGACTTCCATGTCCAGTGCTACCGGTGTGAGGTTAGTATTCTAATCACGTGAAGGACAGAAAGCAAAGGTTGGCTTAATTTCATCACCGCCTCATGTTATACACACGACAGGCATACCCTATTGTAACACTGGCTCTACAATCAAATTACTTCACTGACTTCAGCATGCAAGGAATTTTTCCTCATTTATATCAGCACAAATGAAAAGAAAATCAGGTCCCTTGTTTATAACAGGTTCATTAGGAGAGCAAGAGAATGTGACTCAGGTAATTAGAGCTTAATATTTGAGAACATCATAAATTATAGCTTGGACACAAATGTTGCTCATGTTTATGTTCTTAAAATGAAAGCTAATGCATGTTAGAATTTGAGCAAGATAGTACAGGAAACTCAACATATGGCTCTGGGTTGAAGAATTTTAATGGACACATAAACATGATCATTCTTGTTTTGTGCAATGCTTTTTGTGCTACTTTCCTGTTCAGTTTCATAACGCACTTCATATAATTTTGATGGTAAGAATCTGAAGACAGAGAAGAAAAATCACCTTAAAGCAATTAACATGTGGGAACAGCTGTGTTAGGGAACCTTCAAGAATTCTTCAATGTAAGTGTTACTTGTTGGATAATACATCAGCCAGATGGCAGGGTAAGAAAATGAGACCAAATGTATTTCTTATCGCAGTTGCAGGTTTTAATAACTTTAACCGGAAAGAAGGATGGACTAAGGCTTAAAGGTCTAGGCTGAGACGTGAAGCATCTGATTCAGTTCTCAATCTGACCTTGGCTTCTAGGGTACATATCAGCCCATTACTTAGGCCCAGTTTTTTAAAGGCGCTGTGGCATTCCTACACTAAATTTTGTAAAGCCAATTCGTCATACAGCATGTCCCCATACTGCCTGCTGAGATACTTAGACTTCACGCACATGAATGTCAGAAGTAGATACAGTGGAGAGCCCAGGACACAGGCACTCACTTGGCCTTGATTTCCATGTGCCTCAACTACTCAAAAGGAACAACAACAATATTCTTTTTTCCACCACTTGCATGCCAGGTGTATTTACAAACACAGATTTATGATGAAGAGGCGTGGCCTCTAAGCAAGCCGTAATGCCCTCACCATAGTTCCATTAGCAGTCTTTGGCCAAGTGATTGCCTGATCACACTGTGAGGGATTATTCCTAACTTTCCTAGCAGGAATACTTAGCTCTATGTACTTAGAGGCTGAGGTCGCTGGAGCAGGTTTTGGGCCTTTTAGTGGGGTTTCCCTGTGCCTGTCTCAGTGACATCCTCCTTTCAGCCACAACCTTTTGGGCCAGTTTAAATACAAACACAGATGACAGTTCTGGTAAGGGGAGACAGGCAGGGAGTTTGCTTAGCTGTCACCCCTGGAATGGATGGTATAGCTTTGTGGCATTAACTCTTCCAAAGGAGATTACTTGTAGTCAGATATTGGTACCAAACTTCCTTCCCAGTGATGCTTCTTTATCCTTTTTTGCATTAATAAATACATGCTTAAGTTTGATGTTTTCTCCAATGCTAAAGACCTTTCCTTCCTCAGAAATGTGAAGGGAATAATCTCGTTTTATTTTCAATTGGATTAAATTCAGCAGCGAGCTTGGGAAACCATTTTCTCTGCAGCATTGTCTCTTATCAGGAAATGGCTTAATCATGAAAGACAATCACGTACCTCAGCTTCATGCTTTACGCTGACTCAGGCTGGATCCTGTTAAAAGGTGGAGAGTGAGGAGAGAATTTCTTTGACTAATAGATTCTTCAGTTAATCTTGCTCTTCTTTCGTATTTACTTTGCTCTTTCTGTCTGCTTATTTCCTAGGACTGTGGTGGCCTCCTGTCTGAAGGGGACAATCAGGGCTGTTACCCTCTGGACGGGCACATCCTTTGCAAGACCTGCAACTCTGCTCGGATCCAGGCTCTGACTGCCAAGGCCAGCACTGATCTCTGAGTATCAACTGTGACCCTCCCCAGGATGCCCATTTGGGGATATTGCACAAGCTTTGCATGATTTCTTTCCAGCCTAGGGTCTGAATCTCTGTTTTTAAAAAAAGTAAAACTGGAAGGCCTTGGAACAAGAGGGCAGTTCAAGAGGCCATGTTCAGACTGCCCATGACAGGCACCTGATTTAGACATGACTTTTCAGGAGGGTGGCAAGTGAGTCAGACCACCTGCTGTCTCTGCAGCTGATGGAGAGAAGTGGTCACAGCACCTAAGTTATCTGCCTGTAGAAGGAGGTCTGAACATGGTCCTAACTATACTTCTGTGTTTGATTCCTGTCTCTTAAGAAGTACATGAAGGTAGAAGGTGAAAGATGGCTGAGCTAGTTCTTTCTCCCAAGTTATTTTGAGAACCTGACCAGCTCTCATTGAAGTCATGGGGAGCTTCCCTTTGACTTTAATAGGATCTGGATCACCAGCAGAAGTAGCTCCACTGCCCTAGAAGGTGTTGAGAGCAGACCCAGCGCTCCTCTCATCACAACACAAACAATGCAATTTCAATTCTACTGCACCTAAGAGTGTAGCTGTGACTTTGTATCCTTGGGACACAGATTTGTTATCTATATCTTTTTTTTTTTCCTTAGGCCCTTACTTGTCTCCATTCCCTTCCAGTTCAATAGGGTTTTTTCTTTTTCTTACGAAATTATATTTTGCTATTGCATAAATTTATTCAGTAGTGATGCTTCCAATTCACAACGTATGAGTAATCACAGAAAGATGTGAGCTTGCACACACTATACACTACACACACACACACACACTACACACACACACATACAATATGCTTTTGATTTACCAGAGGTATAAGCCAATCATGTCCGTTGAGAAGGTCTTTTAAGGATGTGGGGCTGGAAAGACATTTTTTAAATCTCAGTGGTTTTAAAAAAAAAAAAAAAATTATTACATAGAACTGCAGTACAAAGCGATGCTCAAAAAAAAAAAAGTCTTATGCCACTTTCTCACACACCCCAATCTAGTGGAACCACTGGCAGTGTTGGTTTCTGGGTAGACATTTAAGCAATAGAGTCTTATTCCATCTCCTGTTTATTGCAATGGGAGGATTTTCCTTCAACTGTAACAGGGATTGAATCGAGCCTTGGGATATACATTTCTCTGGTGTTAACACGCGTGATCTGGAGTTCTCATTAAAAAAATTAAGGATCTTATTTCAACAACAGCAAAAAGGATCCTCCTAAGTACATGCTGTTGTTCAGTTTTAATCCTAAGAAAGCTAAAGAAGGTATTAAACCCTTCTCTATGCCATTCCAAAAAGTAAGCATTTTTCTTCCTCTTCCATTTTCATCCCAGCCACTCTCAACTTCTCTTTGGTGAAATCTCGTTGCAGAAGAGTGCTGGGCCAGCAGCAGCATTTTCATCTTTTGTCCAGAATTAATATGTATGCCAAGGTAAATAAAAGCTGTGCACAGATGATCTTTTTTTCTCGTGTTGGTGGGGGTTTTTTTTAGTTTGGTTAATTAAAAAAAAAAAAAAATTTAAAAAATTAGAAATCCACAGCATTCTGAGCAGCTATAATATTCTTGTTCATGAAACCCATAATAACTAAGGTGAAAATTACATAGTGAGGGAGTAATTTTCATATCACTGAATTGACATTAATATCTTATTTGCAGATGTAATCAAAGAAAATACCTTTCTTTGCACTTAACAAATTAAGAAGCAGAACTGAAACAGTTGCAGGCTGATTGACCATATAAGTGACAAACTGGCACTTTTCAAGAGTAAGTTACAAGAATTTTTTGTCATGCACCCACTGAAAACCAATAAGAATGTGGTGCTTTCATCTTTATTCTCTATAGTAGAAGCCTGATATAATTATACCCACTAATGCTAAAAAGAAAAGAAAAGTTAGATGAGCTAGACTGATAGGAAACAAAGACGAAAAATTGAGATACTCACTGCAGCTCCTGCAAATGGTGCATTTCCTTTCAGTTTAGCACTAACCTTTATGGAAGAGCACTGTGAAATTTAATAGCTTTAGCTATACAGTAAATTCAAATACAGAAATACCAGTCTGAAACCTCTGTTCCTTACACGGTTTACAGGTTGGCAAACTCCACCGGTGTTAGGGAAGATTCCCAAAATTCACAGCTCAGAATGAATCCTTCTTTGTAGAACGGAGGCATCGTTAAGCAAAAGAAATCGTTCTCTACCATAGTGGCTGTGCTGAAGCAGTTTGCCTTTTTATACTAGATTTCTGCCCTGGCCTTCAAGAATTTTCCTGCCTCAGATATAAACAGGGTTTTTTTGTTGTGTGTGTTTGTTTGTTTGTTTTTTGCACCGTGACTCCTGCCAGGTTCCATCTGGGCTCCTGCTCCCTGAACTGTGGCACATAAGGTACTTTTGAGCTCGCTTCTTTACATGCAGTCTGCACCACCACCAGTCAAAAAACCCCTTGCAACTATTGAGCAAATCGAGTTTGAACTAACCCTACAAAAACACAGGAGGTCAGAGCTGGGATTGCTAACACCCTTGATCCCTGTGGAGGATTTTACATCTCTGCAGGCACAGGGGAGGACGTGATGCACTCGGGTGCAGAATAAGCCATTCATCAGGCAGCAAATGTAGCTCTGATCTTCCTTATTCTTGTTAGTGTTAAATCAAGTGGCTGATGAGACTCACCTGAGTAACACTGGGGTAACTGATGGAAACGAGCTATTGTGCCTTCCTGCAGAATGTGGCCTAGACTAAGGAGGACCGAAATCCAGAGCCTTTGGGCTTTTTATGGCCCTGCCATAGGCTGGACTTGGAGCAAGTCATATGGCTTCTCGTCTTCTGCCCAAGAGGGCTTCTTTCCAACTTCCCAGGGACGTTATGGGAATTAAACTAATCACAGATTGGCCCAAACTACTGATTTTTGGAGTTCTGTCTTCTCTTTCCAGAAAAGTTTGCTGGTATGTAGGTTTGGGATTCCAGCCCATTTCAAAGCTAAGGGCCAGCCAGGAGATGTAGATCTGAATCCTCTGTGTTACTAGGGTGCTGTGGTGAGTTGGGCTGCTGTGCACGGAGGTGAGCGCCAAACTTCTCAAGCATTAAATACTCCATGGATGGAAGATCTTTGACAAAGATTGAGCAGTGTTGATATTTGAGGTACTGTGGCTAATTTTTAGACCTGACACATCTGGACAAAGGTACTATCATGCTTTTATTTTCACCCCTGAAACACCAAAGCCATCTGCCTGTTGGAAGGAGTGAGCATCCAAAACACTCTTCTTTATTTTCTGTAATGCATGTGGTTTTGGCTTCTAAAATTGCTATAAATATATTCGGAAGATATTGCATAAATGTATATAAATCACAGAGGCTCTCATCACCCGCATGTGTATGGAAATCTCCCCTCTGATGCTTCAGGATTTAATTAGGAAATGCTGGTGGGCTTATCTCAATTGCACTGCAATTAAGAACCACTGGGATATTGCTTCATCACAATATTTATCACATATTTATAATATATCCTGTTTTATCTGTTCCAAAGAAGGAGTCTTTTTGCCAAAGAGACCTTGCTTTTCTTAGGGTGCGCTTCTTAGCCATGATAAAAATTCACGTCATCTGTGGCTGTGGTAATGTCCAAACTGTTCCTTTCAGAAAGAATTGGAAGATCACACAGACATTTCTGTTCAAGTCTGTAGAGTTTTTGCTTATGCTGCTTTGGCTTTGTCTAGCATTTATTGGCAAGTAGGGCCTGATCCCATGATGTGTGGCCAGATGGGGCCCAGGAGGGTCCAGGATCAGGTTCTAATTTAGCAAAATATTTAAGCCCATGGGGTTTGTTTAAGCACAGGCTTAAAGCCATTGCATGGTGTGACATAAGCCATTGGGTCTACAGTCATTAATACCAGACTGATTCTGTATCACCCAGTCATACAGATTTGATCTGGGTAGGATGTGGGCACAGACAAATTTCTGTCAAATAACCCAAAACACATGAAATGGCTCCTGTGTCATCCTTATGCCAACTGCAGGAGGGCACATGGTGGCTGATCCAACCTAGCATTTGGAGGATGAGTTATTACAAGATCAGTGCTTCATGTCAGGTGGCTGTGGCGCTTTCCATATGTCACAAGTAGCCCTACAGCCAGATTTACGGTATCTTTGAAGCATGGCTTTAAAACTGTCTACTTAAACTTTCTCCAGAAGATTGGGTTGCCTTGGTTACAGCCCAATCCTTAAGCATATCCAAGGCTAATGCTAGTATTTTGTGAATGTGATGGTTTTATTGTCACTTATTTTAATCATTGCCTGAACATTGCTTTAAAAAACAGAAAGCAACAACATTGCCTTAGCCTATCAGATAATGCACCTTTAATTTTGGTTTTGTTTTTTTTTTTTTTTAATATTTTAATTCTTAAATTTTTATCACAGCTGTGAAACACTTGGGTAATGATTTAATCATAGAGGTGTGGGAGTACCTAAGTGTTTATCATAGTGAACTCCGTATAATAGCGTTCATCCTGATGGCAGGAGCGAGACTTTCATGAGACACAGGCCTTAAGTTGACTTTCTGCCTATCAGCAAAATGTGCCTGAGAAGAGTGAGAAAAAAAGTGTCTTTTAGAGAAATGGTGGTTGTTGATGAGAATATGCAACAAGTCATACTGAAATCTCTTTGGACCTGTTACGGCTGCTGCCTGGCCATGGTCAGCCAAGCCTAGCTTAGGTTTGGTAAATGCTGGTTCCTTTTGATTTTGAGAAAGTCCAGCAAACAAGGGATAACAGGACCCAGGAGAAGGTCCTTGAAGGAAATCCTGTGTCTTTGCCCTCCTTCAGCATCAGAGATAAATGTTAGACACCTGGTGCTTCAGCTGAATGGCTCAGAAAGGATTTCAGTTTATAACTGTTTTCTATTGATATCTGGTTCCTGCAGTTGGTTTATCATGTTAATTTGCTATTTGTTCACCGAGTTGGGTTGACTACAGCTTTATATAGACCTTGAT